ACGCAGGCGCCTAGGCCTGCCGCAGCCCAGTCTCTCTAGGTGTGGGGTAATCGCCCCACCACAGTATCAAATGTTATATAATGTTAAGGATTCTGAAAATTCAGGTCCTAGGCAGATCAAATCTGACACACAAAGTTAGTGGATAATTTTGACCTTAATCTCTGGCCCTCAGCTCCCCCTGTGTAAAATGGGGATAATAGCATTAGACCTGTTGTGAAAATCAATTCATATTTGTGAAGCACTCAGGTACCATAGTGATAAGCACCATAGTAAAGCCCAAGATGACAATATTTTTTTCTTCAGAGCAGGGGATTGAATAATGTGCAGTAAATAGGGCCTAGGGCCACACGTGGAACAACAAGTATAAAACAACATATTGAATAGCTGCTCATTCATGGAGCACCATCCACTCTGAATGAATGAGTCAGAGGTTCTATGGAAAAAAACAGTATAATCATATACCGTAATGCACATGCATAGGAGGGGTGAATTAAGTTTGTACAGGCACCCTTAGTGCTGGCATTCCTTAACTTTTGAGTGCTGAACTTTGCAACCTTAATGTTCTTTGAACATAGTTTTGTGTTTAATATTCTATAAGCTAATGATTTAGGCTATGTCTATGCTACCACTTTTGTCCGCAAAACTTATGTGAATATTCCACCCCCCCCCGAACAACATAAGTTACACCGGCATAGTGCTAGTGTCCACAGCTTCTGCCACTCACAGACCCCAGTAGCTTCTTCAATCCCTCCTCCAGATGATGGGAGTTTAGCTCATTCAATGAAAGAACAGAAATACCCTATGACTTTTGTGACCACTCATACCTAGCCAATACAGATCAAATTTAGAATATTGAATATTAGATACTTGAGGTGAATTGTTTGTAATCATTCCATAGGGCATAATTAATAACTTTTAAAAAAGTCTTTGAATATATTTAAATAAGGGATATATTGCAAAATCCTTGCAGATGTTCTAAAAGCAGAAATTGGCTGCAAATTATTTCCTCAGCTCTAAAGTTAATCCAGGTATTTGTAGAAACTAGTATTTATATTCACACTGGATGAAAATTCATCCCATAAGGAGGACCAGCACCAAATCTACGTACTACTCAAGACCCACTTAGGATCAGTTTGAAATGAATTTCACACACTTATTTTGACACACAAAATCTTCTATTACAAATAGCTCCCTCAACCATATAAAAGTTTGTTTTTCAAATATAAAAATTAGTTACAAAATGTTCATTTTTTGGGATTATTCTGTTACACAAAGATGTGACCAGTATTTCTCTGGCACAAATAGTAGTTTTTAGAACTAAACTGTTGGAAGTAGAGAAAGAACTGACAGGGATTTGAAGGGGATTTCATATTCAAACAGTCCCCTTGTGTGAGCAAGAGTCAGGCTAGCTGTAACCCTAATAACGCGAGATTTGTAGAAGCGAGGATTGTGTGAGGCGAGTGGGAAAGAACTGTATGAGAAGTTGTTGTGACCTTGTGTTAGATAAATATGGAATGTAGACTATAGTCTAAATAAAGTATCTGACTTGCTGCACCCAACCTGAGAGTGAGAACTCTGTTTTTCTCTGACAACTGAAAAGCTGATGTACAGTTTGAGGCACAGAAAATGAGACTGATCCAGTTAAATCCACAGAAATCACAGCTACTTATCTCCTTTCAAGAATGGTCCCTTTGTGGGAATAAAAAACTCCAGAATGCTGAACACAGCCTTGAAAAAAGAAAAAAGGAAAATGGCATTCTTTCATCAGTTGAGACATTTAGATTAGGTTTCTCAAAATTAGAATTAAACAAACCACATCCAATATCTTCATCTCATCAGAAGATGAACCACTGAAGCTATGAGTATTGGTTATCTTGAAATCACCACTACTGTTAGTTGGGGCATTGATGTGTTCTGCAGTAGATACATTGAATGTGTTATTCCAAATAGTTGGCTGAAAACCTCCTGTTGCATTATGTGCAGGTAATGTTATGTTTCTCTGTGGGGTAAATGAAAATATACTCATGTTGGAAGAGGCTCTAGCCCCAGAGGCTTCTACATTAGAAAGTGAATTTAAGGATACTTGAACACAAATATCTTCTGAAATGCAGGCATTGATGTAGTGGATGTCATTTAGATCAACACTAGGTTCACAATTGTAGCCTGCATAACAGCGGCAATAAAACTTTTCTATAAATCGCTGCAGATCCTGAAATGCTGGCTTCCCTTGTATGGCATATTTCCCATTCCTTGACATCTGAATGACAAAATTCTCTGGGTTCAGATGAAGATAGTCACTGGAGTTCCAGTTCTTTCGTGCACATGCACCAGAGTCATGGCATAATACCTGACTACAGATTTTGGCTGCCATGGTTACATTGATGATGTAAGGATTCAGAGTGTGCCTAAGGTAGCTGTCCAGAGCTCTGCAAGTGTTCTGTGAAAAGAAAATCATATTAAAAAGTTTGGTATACAAATTCAGTATGAAAATGGTTGTCACTTCAATAACAACATTGTCGTAGCTAATTATCAGTGTTTCTCTTGAAGTATTGCGAATGCAGACGGTCAGTTATCATTGGCTGTTGGAAGCAAGCACACTTATTAAGTTGTTATACAGTGCAATAATTATGGCAAAATTATGCTAGGTAGATGCTGGAGATTTTATTAAAATCATTCAAATATAGAAAGCAGAGGAATTATCCCTTTATCTATGTAAGGATACCCCGTAGGTTTTTTTTGAGTCCGATGTGTTTAATGAAGTTATAAGAGAGATCAAAATTCCTTTTATTTTGAGGGGATCCTGAAGAATTTTAGGTCTTCACAAATGATCATTTTTCTAATTATTATCCCCATGAAACTCTTAATTTTTTCCGCTGAGCTGACTATCCGTCAGCTGCAGAAGGTAGGGGTTTTTAAGGCTTGAACTGAACACTCCAAGGGCTCTGCCTTTGGAACGGAAAGAGTTCTGGGAACTTCTTAATATTGAGGAATATCTTCAAAATATGACTCATTGACTGAGAAATTCTTGTGTAATTGGCACAGGTTTCCTGTTTGCTTGGCATGGTTTCATAATTAGAGGTGGGGTGGGGGGTTGCTTTTTGGTATGTTTTGTTTCTGAGGCTATATCTATACTGGGCATTTGCCCTGATTAGACACCAAACACCTAGTGTAGACAGGCACAGCTACTATTTGCACCAGTGCAGTTTACCCTGCATATCACAGCTGATAGCAGTTAGTTTATCCTGTCTGCCTTAGGGTTTGTACTAATGCAGTTACATCAATGGCTGCCCACCAATGGCTAAAATCAGGACAATAACCCAGTGTAGAAAAGGCCTAAGAGAACTCTTTGCATTTTTCCCCTTTCCACCGGTTATGTTGAAAAGGGTATGTCTTGGACCTAACAAAGGCTAAGATGAAACATTTATTTACTATTCAAACATTAAAGAGTTAAGTGTGGTCTGGGATTTCATAGCAAGTAATAGCCTCCACTAAAAAAATCTTTATAACTCGTTTATTAAAGATACAGAAAAAGAAGGGGAAATAGTTAAAGCATTTGAGCATTTGAAATGTGAAGTATTGAATAAGACTTTCATTTTAATGGTAACCCTTCCCTTTAGCTGGAAACAGTCTTTTATAGAAGACAGCTCTGTCTGACAGCCTTTTAGATGGTGTTAACTGGTCTTCTGGGGAAAAGAGAAGTTCGTTTGGATGGTCTGGAGCTGTTGTTGAAATTGAACCCCATTTTCTTTAACACAAAACAAGGCAAACACATAAAAGAGGAGAGGACAGAATAGTAAAGATGGAAGCTGTTTTTTCTATTTTAGGTGCTGATTTGTACTCGCAGCCTCACTACTGAAGAAGCACAGGCACATTGCATTATCAGCCACTCTGAGACCTGGCGAACCTGTACCACTGTCAGACTGTTTAAGGCATTGTTTTAAGCTGCCTCTCTGGTCACAGGCTCACAGCTATGTTACACAAGATAAGAGTTGTGTTGGCTGGCTTATCCACACTTTATTTTTAGACAGAAGGCAAAAGGAGTGAGCTAGGAAAGAGAAGAAACAAGGCAGGGAAGGAAAAGGACACACAAGGGAGGGGGTGACACCAGGAACCAAAATTTCATGTTCCAGGCCTTGTTTAGGATTTAGCCAAAGCTGGTAGAGGTGGCAATGTCATCTGGTTCCCTCTCTGTCTTGTCTGGTCTGGTCAGGATGTCTTTCAGGATTAGGATGATGGAGGCCCAGTGGTGTTAGTGTGGATCCGAGCCAGAAGACAGTGGGAGTGGCACCCAAGATGGTGAACCTTGCTCCTTCCACTCCATCTATCCTTCCCACTCCCATTTGGTGAAGCCCAGATAAACATTGTCCATGGTGGTCACCTCATCTCAGAAACATTTGTCAATTAAAATACATTTTGTGATTTCAACTATAGATATTTCCTCCCATTTCTAGAATCTCTCCATTTTTATCACTTATGTCATGCCAACCTGTGACCTTTCTGGGAGTCTTGAAGACTCCTTAATACAGTTCTTTTAATTCAAGCAATCCAGTTTCCATCTATTTATTTTTAACTTTGATGTAACAGGCTGTGTTGTTCCTGGACAATTTAGAGTACCGGCCTTTGAACAACATAACCCACAATCCTTGCACTCTTCTGAAGAGCTACTGGACTTTACTGTTACTGATTCTGTCAGTTAGTCTATGTCACTTATATTGATTGCAGTGGCACCCAAAGTAACCTAGGAACACAAGATAACACTTTCAAATGCACCTGAGGGAAAAAACATATAAAATGTGGAGGGAAAGGATATAATATACCATTAAAGTAGTCAGAGCGATGATTGGCACAAGTATTGTTTTGTTTTATATAAAGAGAGGACAGCTGAAGATATTTTAGCTAGCAATTCCTAGCTGATTAATTTCTTGGAGGAGTTAAGGCAGAAGTGGGTCTAATAGAGAGATTTGTATGACGAGGATAATGACTTGACATATCCACTTAGAAAGGTTGTTCCATGAACACACAGATTTACTCATGCAAAAACTTGCACAACTGTGTGGACAAATGTTACAATCTGTATATGCAAAATCTCATTTGCTTATACTAATCACTCGCAAATTTATTTCTAAAGGCTGTTGCCAATGTAAATTCTGTCATAATAATTGTGTGCACAAATTACAGATGCAAATGATATTCATATCAAAACCAAGCATGTACAAATGGAGTCCATGTTCAGATCTTTTGAAAATTCAGTCCTTAAAGAACTATGAATATTTATGTAGGCATGCTTTCTGCTCAAGGGACACCAACAGTGCTGGACAGTTCCAATTCCTTCCTTTTAGGAGACTGTGGGTGTGGGTGAAAGTACAATAACTGCACAAACAATATTTTATATGGACTGACTTGACTGTATACAAATGGACTAGTTCAAAAGATTTATTTCAACATCCTCTGAACAGTGTTTCTCAAACTGTGACTGATCTTCCTAAAGTAAATGAAGGGGAAAAAAGATTTCTCCCCCCCCCCCCTTTTTGCCATGCATCTTTCTCATATAGGAGTCAGTCAAGGTATTATCATCCACTGCATATGAAATAGAGAACAGGCTAATCATGAAATGTAACAGGCTACCCCCTCTTAATGTTTAAAATATTTTTCCTAAATGTACCATTAAAAAAACCAACAATCCATGAGGACGATCATCAAAACAGTTGCACCTGAATATTTTTCTGTGCCTTAGGGTGGAATGCTATGAAGAAATTTCAGAACTCCTAAACTGACCAAACAAATGACAACCTGCCTGCAGCTTACATAGTAGCTTGTCTAGTCACTAATCCCTAACAGCATGTATCAGATTGAAAGCTAAGTACTAACACTGATATAAAAAGACTTCTGGAGGGATGACGTTTTATTTAAGTATAGTGGCAGATGATGCCAACAAGCCTCAAAGGTGTTTGCTTTCTTCTCAAAGAAGACACTGGGTCTTCTGAAAACTGCTTAGTCATTATTTAAAGTGGAATAATTTATTTACTCTGAGAGGAGTAAATAAATAATAATAACTAATACCTTAGACTTTTCATCTCTATGGCAAAATAATGTATTGCTCTTTAAAAAAATTGAATGTAATTAATCTGACATACCACACTCAGTGTTAAATTCAGGTCTCCCCAGATTACAATTCCAGACACCCCTAATGCAGCAGATTCTCCAATGGTATTTACAAGGTCATCCTGAAAGGAAACGTGCAAGGATGAATAATAAAGTAAGTATGCTTCAGTAATATGCAGTACATACAATAAGTTATATAACCAGAATAATAAAGTGGTAAATAATTAAATATTACACCCACATTCTGCTCTCACTTATGCTGGTGGATTCTGGAACAGAGTTGAGCAGATGATGCAAAACAAGATTGCCACCTAACACCCTTTTGAGTATGTCTTATGATCAGAGAACTAAGACTCAAATTGAGCCCCTACAAGTTCATGAGACACACTGGCACCTCTCCAAGCTGATCACCCCATTTTGTCCCACCCCCTTCTCCCCTCCTATCAGCTCTTTTGGCTAATCAGAGTTGGTGGTCCAAATTCAAAAGTGCTACCTGAGGCTGGGGCATGAAAGACCTCGTTCAGGGCAATGCTTCGCCTAACTTTGGCCAGCAGGGGGAGCCAAAGCAGAAAAGCAGCAGGAGGAAGAGTCAACAGCTCCTGGGCTTTACACATAGATTAATTTAAAATATTTGTTTATATATTGTTCAGTCAGGTTTAATCCCAGGTAACCCCACTGACTTCAGTGGCGTTTCTCCAGATTTACAAAATTATACTGTATAAATGATAGCAGAATTTGTTCATCATACTTAAGATATTGACCTATAAAGGCAACATTCAATGGACTTGTGCCATTTTTGCCTCTTTGTGGTGTATATAAAAAGTTTTTGTGCTTGGGGTTTTTTTTTTTTTTAATTCTGCTTGTTTTTTCACCTCAGAAATTCTGACCCTGTCCAGGCCAGGCAAGCAAGTTCCATGATAGTAGGAGAACTAGTAAAATGGTGACATCACAAGAGCCCAGAGAACAAAAGGTGAGCAACAGGGTGGGGTAGGGTAGGGGTTTACTGTTAAACAAGAAAACTAAAGTTTGTTTGTTTTATTAACACCTAATCAACAATGGGTAGTTAACATTTTAGAGAAAGGAAGCTTCTCTTAAAGATTTGAGAAACTTGCCTCTTCAGTTACAGAGTTAGAACTCACAATAGACATCCCTGAGATCTCTAAGGTCTTCTAACACAGTGGTTCTCAACCAGGGCTACATATACCCCCTGAGAGTACGCAGAGGTCTTCCAGGGGTTACATCAACTCATCTAGATATCTGCTTAGTTTTACAACAGGCTACATAAAAACACTAGCAAAGTCAGTACAAACTAAAATTTCATACAATGACTTGTTTATACCGCTCTATATACTATACATTGAAATGATTAAATACCTATTAAAGTACAATATTTATATTCCAATTGATTTATTTTATAAATATATGGTAAAAATGAGAAAGTAAGCAAATGTTCAGTACTAGTGTGCTGTGACTCTTTTTTGTATTTTTATGTCTGATTTTTATAAGCAAACAGTTTTTAAGTGAGGTGAAATTTTGGGATACGCAAGACAAATCAGACTCCCGCAACGGGTACAGTAGTTTGGAAAGGTGGAGAGCCACTGCTCTAACAAAACCAGGGCAGACCACACTTCATATTCCTAATACTTCTTGAGGTAAAACTCAACAGAAACATCTTTTTTAAAAGTAATCTTCTTCATACTTTCTTTATACATCATTTAAAAAAAATTGTCCCAAGTCCAATTTTAATAGCCCCTAACTAGTCAGCTTGGAACAACAGCTAATTCATATTTTCCCTCAATTAACCTGCTACAATATTCTTTCCACTTCCATAGCATTTCACTACTTGTTGGATACAGTACTACTCATAAGGTACTGGGAAGAAGTTTAGAAGAATTCAACCCTTTTGGCTTGGCTGAATTTAATTGCTGAATAAACTTAAGTTTTGTGACTCTGTCTGTACACTTCCATTTCAATACAATTTCATTTACGTGTCAAGTAAACATCCAAACCCCCCTATAGGATACTTTAATCGTCTTGCAAATGCTTTGTGCCTATGTATTTAGTATGCCTTACATTACAAATATTTAAGAGCTAGCCAAGCCTCACTCACCTGAGAGAGATATTCCTGATTGAAATCTGTGAATACTGGACGTGTATATACAAAAATGGGAAGTGGACAGGTGGAATTCGAAACATTAGAAACTCTAATGGCTTCTTGAACTCTATTACGAACAAAGAGTGGTGCATTTTTGGAAGATCTCAAGGCCGTTTCCAGATAGACAGATGGGTAAAGTGCTGTGCTTTCCTCCCACAACCAATTAAGCTCATTATTTCTTGCTATTTCAATATCTAAACAGCTTCCTGTATAATTGTGGGGATTTTGGTTGTAATCATAGTTATAGCAGTCAGGGTAAAGGTAGTATCCCCACAAATGATTCGGCTTCATTGATATTCCCAGTTTTAAAGATTGCAACATAAGTGATTTTGCTGCAGCTTCAAATTCCATTTTGGCTAAAGTCCTGGCTTGGGTTTCTGATAGGCTTACATCTTTTTGCTGAACAAACTCAACAGACACCTGTCTGTAAATGTCTTTCGATCCCCAGTTCCGTATCCATAATGGCCTCCAGTTTTCCCAGTCGATGACAGCCAAGCCAACCTGTTCATCTGAAGGCATGTAAAAATTAATGTCATCATTGGCTTTTTTTAAATGATGCTCAATGGAACAGAGTTGGGGGATCCCACCATTAAATGTCTCACCTGTGTTCTCATCTATGTAAGGATAATTGCCGAGCCTGTTAGCATAGAATATAGTAGTACTCTGCTCAGTGGATGTCTTCAATGTGCTTCCTACCAAGTGGAAGAGTCTCATATCCAGCTGCACTCGAGCCTTCTCAGTACAAAGCTCTGTAGGAGCATTCCAGATGGAGATGAAAGGAGAATTGGGGATGAGAGGACGGGCTCTTATATGCAAAGATGAGCAGCAAGTAACTAGAATAATGATGAACACCAGCCAGGATGCTCTGTTAGAGGCAACAAAGCTACCGAAGCTTTGGACTTGCCTTAGGGTTTCCATTTCAGTTAGTGAATGGCTCAGTATGTACAATGGCATTAGCTGTTTGTGATCAAGCTGCAAATAAATGCTCCAAAGGTGCTCGCAGCCATGGTAGTCAGTCAAAGTCTTTAGTAAAATAATATATTTCTTCAAATAGAGTACACATTCCGCAATATTCCTTAAGGGGAAAAGATGTGTTGTTTATCTCATGTTCTTTATTGCTTTATGGCACATTCAAGGAAGCTTCCCAATAGTTGCCCAACCTAATGCAGAAAGAGAGACTGAAGCCATTATAATATCCAGTGGGATTTTTTTTAGAGTATCCTTAAAACATAAATAGACATAGTTTATAGCTATGAAAATACTGCCATTTTTCAATGAGCAGAGACTACTCCTCCTGAGTGAAAAACCAGCATAGAAGCAATAAAATACTTAGAGAAGATCTAAGATGGTCAGGGAAGTGGTTTCTAATGGTCAGAGCATGGAACAGAGTTGATACCCCATCTTACTTCTGATTCTGCCAGCAACTCAAGTATGTGACTTTGAACAAAGTCACATAAGCACTTCGTGCCTCTACTTATTTGATAATAATCTGGGTATAATATTACTTACCTACCTCACAAGGTTGTTCTGAAGCTATTAATTTTACAAAGCACTTTGCGATCTCCAGATGAAAGATGCTCTATACATGCAATTGTATCATGTCCTTGCTCTAGGACAAAATGTGGGTGCTATTTTCTTGTCTCATATTCCTATTGCTTGCCTGTTTTTAATGCAATATACTGTACTGTATATAGTAGCTCTGTTTGTCTTCCACTTTTGAACCCAGCAATCATGCCTGCATGCCTATCAGTCAAGCTTTGCTAAAAATGCAGGGCTTTTTCATAATTTACGTTGTTATGAAAATCCTTCCTGCTGAATTATTTTTGCCAAAACAATATGGTAATTGTATTAGCAAGTGACTTGCAGTAGGAAAAATATCACAATACAGAATCCATCAAAATAAAGCTTGTGATCGGTGGGCTTGATTGTGCCCAGACCTATGTGGATTTGCAACGCTACTTCTCCTGCCCTAGCTGCACACAACGAGAGCATATGACTTCCCTAGTGCGGGTTCCCTTGGCATTGCTAGCCTTCCCAAATGGGTGGGAAGGAGGTGGACCATTGCCCTGTGTCAAGGCTGCTTCCCCACTCTGAATTTTAGGGTACAAATGTGGGGGCCTGCATGAAACTTCTAAGCTTACACTACCAGCTTAGATCTGGTCCGCTGCCACCACTCCCAAAGTGCTAATTCCCTTCCCCGAGTAGCCTTGAGAGACTCTTCACCAATTCCCTCGTGAATAGAGATCCAAACCCCTTGGATCTTAAAACAAGGAGAAATTAACCATCCCCCCTCCTTTCTCCCACCAACTCCTGGTGGATCAAGATCCAACCCCCTTGGATCAAAAAACAAGGAAAAATCAATCAGGTTCTTAAAAAGAAGGTTTTTAATTAAAGAAAAAGGTAAAAATCATCTCTGTAAAATCAGGATGGGAAATAACTTTACAGGGTAATCAAACTTAAAGAGCCCAGAGGACCCCCCCTCTAGCCTTAGGTTCAAAGTTACAACAAACAGAGGTAAACACCCTAGCAAAAGGTACATTTACAAGTTGAGAAAACAAAGATAAAACTAACACGCCTTGCCTGGCTGTTTACTTACAAGTTTGAAATATGAGAGACTTGTTCAGAAAGATTTGGAGAGCCTGGATTGATGTCTGGTCCCTCTTAGTCCCAAGAGCGAACAACCACCAAAAACAAAGAGCACAAACAAAAGCCTTCCCCCCACCAAGATTTGAAAGTATCTTGTCCCCTTATTGGTCTTTTGGGTCAGGTGTCAGCCAGGTTACCTGAGCTTCTTAACCCTTTACAGGTAAAAGGATTTTGGAGTCTCTGGCCAGGAGGGATTTTATAGTATTGTACACAGGAGGGCTGTTACCCTTCACTTTATAGTTATGACACCCTGCGTCACTCGTCTACACAGGCTAGAAGAGTGAACTTTGTGCGAGGCAGGAACGAATGTACACTGCGCCCTTGGAAAGCATGGTATAGTGGCCATGCTCTTAAGAGCTCAAAGATTCATTGTGAGCCAGGCCCAGTTACTTTAGGACTCAGCATTCCTGCTGGGGCATGGTGCCTCCTTGCCATAACTAAACACTTTACTTGAAAAGAAGTGTGAAGCAATAAACATATTAATGCAGTGTGATGGGGCAGCCTGCCTATTGGTCAGTCCTCCCCATCATGTGTCATGGCCTTTAAGAATATTGGGCAGTCTGATACACAAGACCTGAGGAGATCTGGAGAGAGAGGTAAAGGGTCCTGGGAAGAGTAGCAGTTAGAAGAAATCCTGTTACTGTGTCTTTAGGGGCCTTGGACCTGGAGCCTTGAAGAGAGGGTGGGGTAGGGCCCCATTTTTCACCCAGCCAGTAAGGAATGAGCTGGGAGAAGGGGCCAGCATAAATGCTGCCTCCTCTTTCATAGTAGGTCAGATACCTGTAGAAACTACAGGGAGCAAGAAGGCTCCTGCAAGTCCCTGAGTTAACAGGGAGAAGACAGCAGTAGGGGAAGGTCTGCTTGCCTCAGGGTGGATGGACTGATTGGTAAAAGGGCCCAGCTGGAGGAGAAGCTGGTTAAAGCCCTGCCACTGGCCTGAACTACAGCCCAGCTACACAGAGGAGCACTGTGGGAAACTCCTACCTAAATGAGAGAAACCATAAGGGCAGTTTGAAAGATAGGCTGGCATGTGACAGAGAAGCTGAGGAGGCTTAGCTGTGTCAGGTTCTGCCTTTGGGGTTGAATAAACTAGACACCTGAAGGGGTACTTTTCAATACACAAGCCTCATAGACTCATAGACTCATAGACTTTAAGGTCAGAAGGGATCATTATGATCATCTGGTTTGACCCCCTGCATGATGCAGGTCACAAAGCCGTCCCACCCTTTCCCTTGACTCTGCTGTTGAAGTCCCCAAGTCCTGTGGCTTAGAGACTTCAAAGCCTTATGGGACTTATTAAAACCCCTCACTCAGTGAAACCGAGGCAAAGACACAATGGCAGCATTTTACTGGGCTGCCAGGGCCTCGGGGGGTACTCCAGGGATGAGGGTCCCTGCTGTATGCAGATATGGGTTTATAATGTGGACACTGTTCAGATCTAAAGAGCCCAGTTCTTAGTCTGCAATAGCTCCTCTGCACTTCTTTGTCTGTGCAAACGGGATGTAAAACCGGTTTAACCCCCTGAATATTTCCCCAGTGTAGGAAAGCCAGGTGTTATAGAGCCAGCACAGTCTGAGCCCCCAGCATGGGGGATGTGGCTAGGCAAAAAGGGGTATGACTGAAGCACTGTGGCCAGAACAACTCCTTGGGGCTTTGGGCAGCCATGTGGAATTAAGAGTAAATTGGAAGCTACCCTAAGTCATATGAGGGGCCAAATCAGCCCTGAGCCAGTTCTAAGATCAGGGGAACGCTAAAGTAAACCTACATTTACCCCCTCTTCCTTTGGTCATGAGCCAAGTACAGATCAGCTAGACCCCCAAATTGGGCCCCCATGTTGTTTTTCACAGACTCTGCAACCATTTAAACAAGTGCAGGGTGCATTCCTACCCCCCTTGTGCCTGATCAGCTCTGCTGGCTTCTGTAGAGGGGTTTGCATCATTGTGTTTTCCTCACCTGTCCCCTCTGAGAAGGCGAATGATGCCACTGCTAGCCTCATGCACTGGCCATGCTCCTCAACCACATTGTGCCTGGACCCACCATAATCTTACCCTAAGTGAATATCCATCCTTTTCTTGCACTCATTAATACTACCTGCTTCCACTTACTAGAACCTTCAATAGATTCAAATCCCAGTGACTCTACGAGAGAAGTCTTTAGCTGATATCTAGACTAACTGTCCTTTCTTTGCTTAAGTTAAAAATCAGGACTACCTGTCATGCCCTCTCTTCCTAGAGTTTGACCGATGAAGCTATGTCTGTGCTACTGTAGGGGAAGCCTACATTTGTAAGGGCAGGCATGCTGCATGCACATGCACTATGCAATTTATACCTTAACAGTGCAGGCAACATTTGTTATGGAATTCAGGAGTTTTTCTTTTACAGTGGAGCTTTATATTAACACACTGTATGGTTCTAACACACACTGTGTGTTAATGGTATGATGGTGTGTAAGGACAGGCCTTTCTTGGGAGAATGAGTAGTAAATGAGGGTGGAAGTGGGCTATGGATTAACCTGCTAGCTGTAGGTAATTATGCTATTGTTAAATTCCTTCCCTTGTGATTTGCGACTGTACTACCCAACCCGCTAGGGCAGGGTAAGGAGCACGGTGATGTACTAACAGTAAAATTCTTACCTTACCTCTAGACAGATGTACGTTCTTATCTCTGATTGGTTAAGGACCTATTCTGGAGCAGTGCAGCTTCTCTTTATTCTCCCAGAGTAGTGATCTATCATCGATTTAAGCTGTGTTGGATGCCTATGCAAATAGAGACATTTTATCAGCCAGCCTTCTGGATAATGTTTTTTATGCAACTGATATCCAAAACAAATGTGTCCCATACTTAATGAA